CTGCACAACCACTAAGGACCGGCCATCCAAGTATCCTAGTATAAAGATGGAGCCATATAAAAGACGCTCACCTTTTGAGGAAGGCGAAGGCATAAGCCATCGAATATGAAAATACGTGCAAACGATTTCGTGTTCGCTCAAAAATGGAGCATTCGTAAAATAGTATATTTTGATCAATGCAGAGGCTTGTTGAGAGTTCGTCTTCCCAATAACATCACCGCTCACCACCACCGGTGCCAGAACATTACATTTGCACAAGTCACTTCTTGAGACTGGCTTATTTTTTAGTTACTTTCAACGGTGTTTTCTGCTTGTGCCGAAGTAAACCCTCCTGAAAAGGCATTTTTATCACCCTTTATAGGCGTCTTACCGAAGAATAAGCTTCACCCTTCTTTTCTTCTCAAAGAACTCCCTGGTGGTAATGGCGATAATATCCAAAGTTTTTTCTTCGACATGCGGAGTGCTGCGCTCAAGTTTCAAACCCTTCCAAAAGCGGCATTGAAAATTTTCTTATCATATATGATACCTTTTTCTTCTTAGGCAATCACAGGAGTTCCTATCCAGTTTATGTCTGAATCGAGCCATCGCTCGGAGAAAGCAGTGGTCAGACGTAGCACAGAATAAAGGCACCACAGCGGTATCAAAGGCACACATTCTGTTGCAAAGAAGATAACCGATCCCCGTATGGGTCACCTAGATAGGCAACTGTCAAGTTCAGCCGCCGTTTCCCGAAAAACGAATTTCTATGGAATAGATAATTTGTGGACAGCAGCCCATTTAGAACCCCATGAGATGGCCATTATATTCACTTCAGAGTTATTTCAAATTTCCCAATTCCCTGTAAATTTAGCCACTGTTTGTATTTCATAAGGTGTCTTAAAGCGTTCCACGAGAATAACAAAACGGATTTTTTTGGCTGGGAGTTAGTTGCTCAAATTGATTATGATGACAGTGATGTTTTTTTGAGGCGGAAACTCAAGGGGGAACATGGCCGTGCGAGGTCATAGGTCATAGCATAAGTCGACGAGACGAATTAAGGAATAGTGACGAGAAGGCCTATGCCACTGAAATTTCGTGATGGAATTTTTCATCCCCGAATGGACACGGTTCCTTCATCTAACTGGTGTAGGTTTTTCCGCTTTCTGTCCCTTATAGGACGAACATGTGGAGTTGATAGAATTTGCAATTTCAACAAGAGCATGAAGATCGTGGTTAGAGTGGACTGTTTTGGTGTTGCGGCTGGTGAGCAAGAAGCTATCTTCGTGGCTTGTCACGTTATTTGTTCCACTTCCATATGCACTCATCGGGTTCGAAATCGTATGTGGTGTGGTCATGATTCGCAGTACTGAAGCTGGTTTATTCTTAATGAACTATTTGTGAGCTGGAATTCCGAAGCAGGACTTTCTCAATTGCTCATCACTGGCAATCCAACATCCTTGAAGATCGCAAAGGAATTAGCAACCTTGCGGTTAGTTCAATAGCGTGACACCAGTGATTCTCGGTATTTTCACACCTTATTTCTGAATGTAAGTACCGAACTGCACTCAACTTAGGAGATCCTGCTGTTTGCCGTAGATCAACACCATAACATACCGCTCTGCTAGGATGAGGCAGTAAGCCACTGAATGAAAATTTAGGTCTGAAAGAACAAGTGGATAGAAATAGTGAAACCAGGAAGGAAATCATTTCAAAATATGCTAAAGAAATGGGTCAATTCATTCTTTAATGATGTTAGACACATATTTGATTACTTCAGGAATACCATAGAATAAATAGGGATTAGTTATGGGAAAGCACTGAAAGCACAGCGAAAGCGAACCGACCTCTCGCGCTGTTAATGTGCTCGCCAACTTGGACGGTAAGATTGGGAAGTATGGGTATGGTTCCATATGGCTCTACCGGCTTTCCGCTTGTTTCTTTCAAAGGCTTACATCTTATTTTGATAGTACATTTAGTCGTTATTGACGAAGTAGGCTTTCGTTTCAAATGAAACAAACATCATAGAAGGCTTGAACAACCGTTCCGTTACTATTCATCACATAAAGGGCCTTCGTGAGGTAAACAACAGCCTCATAAACAGCACTGTACAGCACCACCTACAACGGGTTCTATGAGCTCGGTGAAGCAATACTATCTCATAGAAATCGCTTAATGCATTCTCAAGAACTTCACGAAAGTGTGAGTGGAGAACAATAGCCAGCAGCTACACTATTACTACTTTGCTAGTTATATGGTTCTTAGAACCATGAATTAGCAAGGCACAACGAATGTTAATCGACTTCGACTACTAGAAAACGAGGAGGATCTTACAAGAGCATTAAAGATCGTAAAGAAGACAATGACGGTCACCTTTCCGATTTCATGATTCTTCTTGCCCCAATGTACCTGTCACAGAGATGTAGGGTAGGCATAGCACTACGTTCCTAGTGAACTCTATCAGAGAAGTACAACCACAACGTTGCTGAGATATTTGCAAAACTCTGGACCGCAGGTGTCTATGGTGGGGAACGAACGCGCTATTGTCCTTTCCGGGGAGTAACG